ATACCTGATCCCTTCGACACCTTGTGCACAGGCTGGTGGCGTAGTTCTTCCAGAAACTTAAAAAACTTTCTAAGTATTTTTAAAGAGTTGGGGGCACCACTAGAATCATTCTAGCAATGAGGGAACCAGTGATTTTCTAGCACTAAATAATGTTTAGTCGAGTTCTAGATTTGATGATGAAACTGTCTTATGTTGACATTGCCTCTTCATGAATCTAGTTAAATTTCATTATCACCCCACTAATACAGTAAACAGGACTATACTGGACAGTGTTTTGTTTAGTTGTACATAGCGTTGCTATGATTTCAAATTGACTGGAGGGTACCTTACAACAACAGCATCAATGTCTATGAGGGAAAGTTAAAAGTATTGCTACCAGATTTCTGGCTCATATGTTCATGGGCTTATTCAAGCCAAACATGTTTAAACATGTCTATAATTAGTGGATGGCTGTAGACAACTTCTCTCAGTAGTACACTAATCCTAATAATTAATCTCATTAGGGTGCTTTCCAAAAAGGTCCAATCAAACCAGAAATGTTGGGCTGAGGACTCTTCTTTCCATCATGTCAATTCAACTGCTCATTGTGAGGGTGACAAGGGCTGTCCTGTGGGAATTTCTTTTTTTAAAATTTTATTTTTATCCTATGGGAATTTCATCTGGAAACCTTACCCCATCCAACCTACAACCCTGATCTTGCCCCTTCAGACTTCTTTTTGTTCCCGAAATGCAAAGAACATTGAAAAGGAACATTTGAGTCTCTGGAGGACTGCCAAGCTACCACTTGGATATGGAAATCAAAGAGAACAAAATTAATTGGGGAAGGGTTAGAACAGTGGTTCTCATCCTTCCTAATGTTGAAACCCTTTAATACAGTTCCTCATGTGACTCCCCCAACCATAAAATTCTTTTCTTTTTTTTTTAATCATATTATTAGGGGCTCATATAACTCTTATCACAATCCATACCTACATCAATTGTGTAAATAGCACATTTGTACATTCATTGCCCTCCCATAAAATTATTTTCATTGTTACTTCATAACTATAATTTTGCTAGTGTTATGAATTGGGCAACCCCTGTGAAAGGGTTGTTCGACCCCCAAAAGGGTTGCAACCCACAGGTTGAGAACCGCAAGATTAGAAGGATGGAAACACTGTTTTTAGAAGTGTAAATACCTACATGGAGGATGTTGAGAGAAATATTACCTTCGCATTTTGTTTGTTTGGTTTTTTTTGTTTAATAAAGGCTACAAAGATTTTGTATCTATGGTTTTTTACTTACCCTCATATTAATAAAACCTCCTGGGACTTGAACAAAATAGTTTCAAAATGTAATGAAGAGTTTCATCTTATACCAACCCATTTTAGTTCAAATATTCATTTGTGTGTTCTTTATCTTACTTTTCATTACTTGTGAAGCAGGAAATCCCATCTCTCATTACATGATCAGTTAGAGAACTGGGGTATTATGTGACAAAAGTTAGATATGTGGTTTAAATATTTTTACTTTTAGGTGCTTATTATATCAATATACTTTCTGACTTGTTCTTCATTCTCTGGCATTTCTTTTACAGGTGTACTTATGCAGTGGGAAACCATGATTTCATAGAAGCATACAAATGCCAGACTGTGATTGTACAATATCTTTTAAAATTTGTTTTAACTGTTTAATGTGTAATAGATGCAATATATTATTTGGAATCTAAAATCTTGAAAGATTGGGCCAATCTTAAAACTATCATGTAGTTGCTTAGATAATAAGGTGGATCATTGATTACTTTTAAGGTTTTTATTTAGTTTTGTTATGAAAACAATGATCTTTTGTGGTTTTAAGACGTTAGGTATATTTATGCCAAGCCTTTGCCATCCGGTGGATTCTGATTCCTCATGAATCTATAAGACAGAGTAGAACTGCCTCAGAGGATTTTCAAGTTTTCAGTCTTTATGGAAACAGACATCACATTTATTTTTCAGGGATATAGGAGCTGATTAAGTTTCTTTGAAATACAAGAATGTCTAATATTTTGCATAGATTGGCAAGAGTGAACACAGATACATTGTCATTTTTAATGTCGTCACTGTTGTTAGATGCCAGTCTATTTGGACTCAGAAACCCTGTGTACAACAGAACTCTGCTGCCCAGTCCTGCACCATACTCACATTTGTCGCCATCGCGCTTTTGTTATAGCCAATGTATCAATCTATCGCTTTTAAAAACCTTAATTAGGTCTATTTCTTATGCAAATCACTTAAGTGATATAGCTATGACTGTTATTAATGAGTGTTCTAAATTCTCAAATGTTAGGCCACAAAAGAACCCTCAGTAAATTTAATACATCAAGATATACTAAAAAATATCATTGCTGATTACAATACTATAAAATTAGAAATTAGCAATAGGAAGATCAAAGGGAAAAAGTATCAAATACCTGGAAATTGAATAACACTGTACTCAAAAACTACTGGGTAAAAGATTAAGTTAAAAAAAACAACCCTTTAATGAGAATTAAAGCACAACATATGAAAAATCTTCAAAACACAGCAAAAATAGTGTTCAGTAGGTGATTTATAGCAATAAACACATCAAGAAAAGAATAAAGTCCAAATCAACATCTTAACCCAACATTTCCAACACTTACAAAAAGAACAGCAAAATAAGCTTTTTGCCAACGGAAGAAATAATAAAGATTAGAGCAGAAGTAAATGAAACAGAAAACAAAAACAACAGAAAGAATCAACAAGGCTAAAAGTTGTTTCTTTGAAATAATTAATAAAATTGACAAACCACAGGGAAATCTAAAGAGAGGATCCAAATAACATGTATAAGTAATGAAATCGATAAAATCACAATAGGACCAACAGGAATTAAAGGCATGATAGCAGAATAATATGAAGAACTACACCAACAAATTTTAAAACCTAGAAGAAATGGACAAACTTAGGGACACAAACTAGTTACCTACACACTACCATGGACTGTTGTAGAAAACGAACAAAACCATAACCCAAGAAGAAATTTATCTGGTCATTTAAAAATTCCCAACAAAAATAAGTTCCTGTTCATTTTACCAAACATTCAGAGAAAATCTGGTACTAATCCTACTCAAACTATTCCAGAAAAGGCTGGAAAACTTCCTGAGTTCAATTTTATGAACTAAACATTATAACGCTGATACCCAAACTAGGTAGGCAGAGGATAGAAAGTTATACAGTGAACCCTAGCCACTTCACGCTTTGACTTCCGCGGCTTCACTCTATCGCAGTTTTTGCGTAACAGCGCATGCTCTGTCATTACTGCCACTGATTGGCTCATACTGTACACGCTTGATGCCATAAATAATATAATAAATGATAATTGTAACGTCCAAAATGTTTTACTGTATTTTCCCTTTTTCGTTTAATAAATTGGGTAATACGAGTGTAATGGTGACTAAGGGTGTTTTTTCATGTCCTCTATGCTCTAACTACGAAAATATTTGATTTACAAATAAGGAATCCTACTTCGCGGAATTTCATTTATCACGGTAGGGTCTAGAACCGATTAACCGTGATAAACGAGGGTTCACTGTACTCAGAATTGAATGGCCTTCTAGAGACAACTGTCTCCATTGAATTTAAGACTTTTATAATTGAAATAAACTGTTACGGACTTTTAAGGCATCTGTGTTACATGTAATATGTAATTATTTAGAATCAGAGAAACCAAATAAAGTGTTTTAAATTGTTAATTTTTGAAAACCTTATCACAATACATTTTTTTAAATTGAGAAAGTATGAAGTACATTTAGACTGAATGATATTTGTAATATCTCAAAATGTGTGTTTTTCAAGGAATTAGTAATACTTTGAATATAATGTGAAGGCTGATCTATATCCTTTAAAATTTTAAATCCTTATTTTTAATTTTTATGTCATATAGAGTATTGAATTTTATATGCCATATCTTCTTTAACATAGTACATCGTTCCTGCGAGCATTTCAGGCCCACAAAGAAGAAAACTGGTGAGTCTGACAAAGGGAATTTTTATTTGTAATTAAGCAGAAGCTTTTGAATATTTAGTTTAAAAATATATCTTATGTGGATATTAATTTGTTGATATATAATAATGCCAGCATGAGTATAGCATTAGTCAGTGTAGATTAGTCAGATTATTTGTAGCATTTAAAAAGAATATATGAGTTGCCATTTTTATTTTGGCCCTTCCATTTCCTTAAATGTTTATTAAGTAATATTTTCTTGCCAATTTTGAACTTGCTTTTGGTTTCAAACATTGGGTAAAAGAGGTGAATTCTTTTGCTGTGATATAATATGGGGAATCTTCAAAAAGTTTGTGGATAAAGGACTTAAAAGATAATGGGAATTTCTACAAACTTTTTGAAGTCTCCTGTGTACATAATGATTGGGTTATTTTATTCTTATTCATAACTTTGTGACTTATTAATAAAGTACTTCTGAGTCTAATCTAACTCATAGCAACCCTGTAGGACAGGGTAGATTGCCCGTGGGTTTCTGAGACGAATTCTTTACTGGAATAGAAAGCCTCATCTTTCTCCCTGGAGTAACTGGTGGTTTCGAACTGACTTTTCCATTAGCAGACTAATGCCACTAGCGTCGCTACTAAAATATATAAAAACTATTGTTGGTCCTTTTTTGTAGTAAAGTAAAAGAAGGCTTACAATAAATACTTTTTATAAAATAATGCCTTTACTGTTTTAAAGCCAGGACTTACACATGAAAGAAAAATCAATATTGCCACCTGCATTTTAAAAATTGCTTTATGATATTTTGTGTTATATACTGTAGTTACTGTTAGGAAATCTTATTAAACCAAGTCTTCACTTTATTGGCAATGTATGTCTGAGGAGTGACAGGGAAGGAAATGTCCCAAGAACAACATGAACATTGCTCTCTCTGGGTCTGGACTCCTCAGTGAACCAGGGGCAGACCTCGAGGAGATGCAGGGATCTGCTAGGAAGGTCAATTGGTGAGCAGGAGTTGAACATTTTATTATTTGCCTTCAGTGTTAGTAAGGAACCTTGGTAGCACTGTCCGGTAAGCATTGGCCTTTTAGCCACAAAGTTTGTGCTTCAAACCCACTGTCTTTTCCATGGAAGAAAAATTAATCTTTCTGCTCCTGTAAAGAGTTACAAAGCCTTAAAAACACTATATAGTGAGTCAGAATCGACAACAGTGGGGTTTGGGTTGAGCAAGAAGCCTGCCTTCAATGGAAGGTAAGGGAGGAAACAGTAACTCACATTTTTGGAAGAGGGAGGGAACTTCCCATTCTGCAGTTACTCCTGTGCCTTATTGTTTTTACCCCTGGTGATTGTATCTCTGGTTCATAACCTTTCCAAATATATTTGCTTTTTTGCCCCATAGGGCTTTGCCTATCATGTATGCAGTTGCACTTGATCTTCGAATATTTGCCAATAATGTAAGTTTAATTTCCTATGTCATTTAAAAACAAAACTTTAACTTTTGCTTGATTTCATTATATTGTTCTTTTCAAAACTGTAGAAGAACGAGTCTATGGTGTCATGTAGTAAAGAACAAAAATGACAAAATACGGATGTGTCAGATTGAATCATGCCTTCTAAAATGTGAATAAAATTGGTTAGGCCTTGCTTCTTAATGGTTTGGCAGTTATGTAATAATGTAGTTTGGCAGTTTTATAATAGAAGTATCTTCTGTGATATGCTGTAATATAATTAGCTTCCATTTGTGATGTGTCATAAATCCTGACCTCTGTCTGTGTTAATAAATAGGATTAGGCTATATTAATGAAGATTAGGTTGTGTTTATGTATTATATGATTTGCTAGCCACACTGATTTGCTTTTTAATTAAGGAATTTAGAAGAAATTAAAAACTAATGGGAAGCTGTCCATTCAAGGTGGTCAATATAAATTTCCCAAATTCTAATTTTTGCTGGAAAACTTGAGTGTTATCATTGACAACAAATGCTGCCAGTTGTATGTCTAAAAGTAACAGACTTGTTTATGTTTTGAAGAAAATGGTCTGCCATTATCCCAGCCTAAATAACTAAACATGCTTATCTTTCAGTTGTTATTTGCATGAGAAAAGTTGCTAGCTCAACCTGTAACTCAGTCAGTTACTCCAGTGCTTTTCTTTGAAACAACTCTTCATGTATCATACTTTGAAAAGCACTGTGAGGGAGAAAACAGGCTCTTTCTTCTTTAAGACTACCCTAAAAAGAAAGAATAGTGTTGAATTTAAAATAGAGTAAACATTTTTGTTTCAAGCATTATTGATTGATAAATGTTAAGTTAGTACTTAGTTAAGTTAAAGTTTGTTAGTAGCATCTTGTCATATTTAATGTAGGTTAAAAAATTGGTGAGTAAACTTACTAGCTGGAATTGATTAAAGAGAGATTTGATTTGTAGAAGAGATAATAATCTGGATGTTTTGATTTAAAAAAATACTGTATTATAGGCTAGATGATTTCTCCAGAACATTGCTAGCCTTTGACTGTTCACTGTAGCCATTTTTGCTGCTGGCCGCACTGTGATTTGCTTTTTAATTAAGGAATCTAGAGCAAATTAAAAATTAAGTTTTTCTATTCTAATAGGCGGATCAACAGTTGGTGAAGAAAGGGAAAAGCAAACTTGGAGACATGTTGGAAAAAGCAGCTGAGTTGTTAATGAGTTGTTTCCGTGTCTGTGCCAGTGACACGTAAGGGTTTTGAAGGAAGATATTTTCAGTGTTGTGTTGTGTCGCCCAAAGTGTTCGCCCTCTCATGTCTTTTGTCCAAGACACCCTGGCGGTACCGTGAGTTAAGCATCAGCTGCTGGCCACAAAGTTGCTAGTTCACCTTGTGGCCAGTCTGCGGGAGAAAGATGAGGGCGCCTGTCTCCGCCAAGACTTCGTCTTCGAACACCACAGGCGCACCTCTGCTCTGTCCTGTGGGTCACAGAGTCTAAGTGACGCCGTGGCAGTAGGTTTGGTTTTCAGTTTGCTCCTTCGTCTATTTTTGCCACATTTTATACTTCTGCATAGATTATAAACCCATAATCATTATTTTTGTTTTAAATAGTGTATTGTTTAGTAAAATCTTTTACATTTACCCACATATTCATTTTTTTAGAGCTCTTCCTTCTAATAGGAGCCTTAGGGGTATAATGGGGTAATACCTTGGGCTGCTGACCACAAGGTCAGCAATTTGAATTCACCAGCTGGTCCTTGGGAAAAAAGATGTGGCTTTCTACTCCCATAAACAGTTACAGTCTCAGAAACCCATAGGGGCAGTTCTATCCTGTCCTATAGGGTTGCTATGATTCAGAATTGACTTAATGGCAGTGGGTTTGGTTGGTTTAAAAATTTTTTTTAGTTTCCTTCCTGTACTATCTTATCTGGTGTCATTGTTTTCCCCCAACAGTTTCATTGGCACATAATTTACATATCATACAATTTAATACTTCAATTGTACAATCTTTTTTTTTTAATATTTTATTAGAGGTTCATACAACTGTTATCGCAATCCATACACACATCAGTTGTGTAAAGCACATTTGTACATCATTCTCAAAACATTTTCTCTCCATTTAAACCCCCGACATTAGGTCCTCATTTTTCCCCTCCCTCCCCACTCCTCCCTCCCTCATGAACCTTTGATAGTTTATAAATTGGTTTTTGTCATATCTTGCCCTGCCCGACGTCTGCCTTCACCCACTTTTCGGTTGTCTGTCCCCCAGGGAGGAGGTCACACACAGTTCCTTATAATCGGTTCCCTCTTTCCTACCCATTCTCCCTTTACCCTCCCTGTTTCGCCACTCACACCACTGGTCCTGTAGGGCTCATCCGCCCTGGCTTCCCTGTATTTTCAGTTCCTATCTGTACCAGTGTACATCCTCTGGTCTAGCCAGCCTTGCAAGGTCGAATTCGAGTCATGGTAGTGGGAGCGGGGAAGAAACATTTAGGAACTAGGGGAAAGTTGTATTTCTCATCGTTGTTACATCGCACTCTGACTGGCTCGTCTCCTCCCTGAGACCCCTCTGCAAGGGGATCTCCAGTGGCCTACTAATGGGCTTTGAATCTCCACTCCGCACTCCCCCCATCATTCACTATGGTAAGATTTTTTGTTCTGATGATGCCTTATACCTGATCCCTTCGACACCTCGTGGTTGCATAGGCAATTGTACAATCTTATCAAGAAGAATTGTACAATAATTACCACATCCATTTTAGAACACACCCACCTCCCATGGTTAAATTGCCTTTAAAATGAGTTGTGTAATCACAATCCATTCTAGTGCTCCCTCCCCACTTCTATATTCATTGTTTACTCCCAAATCCCCTTTCCCTTCCTATCACCCACTCCCACCCCTACATCCCCTATAAACCCTATGTCAGTTATTATCACGATGTAGCTACTCTTCTGTGCTTCACAAACTGGGACACCCAACAGAAACAATAAAAAAACAAAACCAAAGTAAGGGGTAAGAATAAAGTAATAATAATATAAAGACAAAAATACAAATGATGAGTAAGAAAGAAAAGACCCCCTCAACATTCAAAAGCCAGGGAAGAAATGTCTGTCTTGGAACAAGGTTAGGTCAATAAGGAGGTCAACTGTCCCGGATCATCATGGTACTTAGTTCATGGCGTGGTTCAGCAAGGGTTGGGTAGAAACATTCCTAGTGTCTACTCAGGAACATAAAATCTGGTCCATTGTCCCCCTAGTTTCCCTACACTCATTGTTTAGCATCCCTTCCCGCTGTGAGATTAGTTCTCCCCAATCACCCACCTTACACACCCAACAGAGCTTTCATCCTCCACAGTGTAGATGGTTCCCTCCTGGTTTTGGCTTGAATTTCTGGAAGGCTTCTTCATTCCTGTGGGGGGCCCATGGATTTGCCCCAGCCCTGTGTAGCATCTCAAGTAGATGCTCATCTTCCCATTCCCCCTCTTGAAGGAGACCCCAGGCAACGTGGGGTCTCCTCCTTCATGTTGGCTCTTGTGAAGTGTGCAAAAGAGAGGTGATGTATGGTTCATGGCCGGTAGGTAGCCTTCTCTTTTTGTTCAAGAATTGGTTCCTAAGATTTGTTTAAATGGTGTTTCTTATAGTAGTGGGCTCATACAATACTTGTCCTTTTGTGATTGACTTCTAGATCAGGGATCAACAGACTATATATAAAACGTCAGGTATTTTAGGCTTTGTGGGCCATAATCAACTTTGTTATTGTAGTATGAAAGGAAGTATAGATTAAAAAAATGAACGTGGCTGTGTTTTTAAAAACAAATTGTGTTCAAAGTTTTTAAATTTATGTAATTTTCATTTTTAATGAAAATTTTTTCTTATGTTGATGTTTTTTAATCCATTAAAAAAAACCCCACTAGTTTAGTAGTTGTCCAAATATAGGCAGCACGCTAGATTTGGCTAATGGGCTGCAGTATGCCAACCCTCAACGTAAGTCATTACTCATATAATTTAAGAACCAATAATCGTCTTAGACCTGGAGAGCTTGTTAAACCAACCCCAAACATTTCAGATTTCTCCTCTTTGGAGCATAGCTAGTATGTTCTCAGCTGCTGCTGCTGCTGCTTAGGCAGCACAGTCAATGACCCCGGTTCCAGAGCTGATGGTTGCACTCCGAGGAATTGGGAAGAGCTAGCAGAGGGTAAACCTGCCCCACAGTTTTATGTCATCAGACTGTCTTGTACCAAAGGGAAAGACTTACTCTTTAGTTATTTGTGTGCCTGTGATGAAATCAGACCTTTTTTGATACAAACAGATTGACTTTTCCTTTATTTGTGGTGGCATACATGTTAAAAGCCCTTGGATGATACAGATGGTTCATACACTCGGCTGCTATTGGAAAGGTTGGAGCTGAAAGGTTGCACTCAGAGGCATCTACCATGGGAGAAAGGCTTGCTAGTCTGCTGGGAACTCCCTGCCACTGAAAATCCTGTAGCACACGTCTCCTGGGACATACTTGGGCTTGTGTGAGTCAAAATAACTCAGGGGCAGCTAGCAAGTAAGGAACATGTCAAAAAGCCTAAGTAAAGGCTTTAAACAAGGTTTTTTCACATATTATTTGCTTTTCCTTAGTTAAGATATGTTTGCCTTAGTGAAATTGCGTTATGTTTCTGGCCAGTGTTGCTTAAGAATAGTGATCAAAATCCATTAATCTTATTTAGTCCTATGTGAAGGGACACTATTAAGTGACCATTACAGAGGCCATTAAAGCTGGGGGACGTGTTGGCTGCTAGTCTCAAGGTCAGAAGTTTGAAATCACCAGCTGCTCCTTGGGAGAAAGATGAGACTTTGATTGTCCTAAAGATTTAGTCTCGGAAAACTCACTAGGGTAGTTTCACCCTACCTGGAGGGTCACTCTAGGGCTAGCCACTGTTCTGTTTTTTTCCCCTACTAGATTTGTCTGTTCTGGAACTTCGTATGTCTTTTATTTTGTTTTGTGATTCACCCATAATGTTGTGTATTCCAGCAATTCATTTTGTGTATAATGATAAGAGTAAAGACATTGTTGTACATGTTTTAAAAAGATTTTTATAACAATTAGCTTTTGAATCATAGTTCTGCAAACTAAGCTGTTCTCAGCTGAGTGGAAACTGGCCCAGCAGGAGAAATCTTACCCACATATTTCCTGGAGATTAGGGTTTCTGCTTGTTTCTTGTTTTAATTTTACCTGTTAGGTAAGACATTCCCTTTTGTCATTCTGTCTTATTTGACTTGATTGGTGGGACTTTTATACCAATTTGTTCTGCAAATTTATTTTGTGATTTATAAAGTATGATTTCCTGTGTAACTTTTAAAAGTTGTTTTTCCATAGTCGTGCTGGAATAGAGGATTCTAAGAAGTGGGGGATGCTGTTCCTGGTGAATCAGTTATTTAAAATTTACTTTAAGGTATGCTTCTTTATATTGTATGATACTTTTTAAAAAAATCATTTTATTAGGGGTTCATACAACTCTTATCACAATCCATACACACATCAATTGTGTAAAGCGCATTTGTACATTCATTGCCCTCATCATTCTCAAAACATTTCCTCTCCACTTAAACCCCCGGCATTAGGTCCTCATTTTTCCCCACCCTCCCCGCTCCCCCCTCCCTCATGAGCCCTTGATAGTTTATAAATTGTTATTTTTTCATTGTATGATACTTTATAAGCTTTATACTTTGAATTTTCCTTCTCCCTATTTCCCGTAGATAGCATATTGTTTCCATTATTAGCTAGCCTCCCTGTCATTGCTTGTGAATGATAGTCATAATTCTAACAGTTAACACTGTTGACTGCCTACGGAGTGTAAGGCACTATTCTCAGTGCTTTCACGCATCACTGTGTTTAAATGTCAGTCTGGTGAGGCCAGTCAGTGTTACCTCTAGGGGAAGCTAAGGTGCCAGTCTATTAAGTAACTGGCCCAACAGGGGGTAACTGGGCTTTAAATGTAAGCAGTTTCTTTCCAGATAATTCCACTCTTTGTTGTAATTATCAGCTGTTTAAAAGTAGATGGGTGGATAGATGGATACATGCATCATTCTTTGCTATATAAAGTTGACTAGATAAGAGCAGCTCCATCACAAGTGAACAGCTGGAATTTGGATAATCTGTTTTGGGAGTTTTAAATTCATGTCACATACTTGTGCTTTCCTGTCTGAGTTGCGTTAATTCATATGGTGGCGGGTTTGCAGACAATCACACCAGCTCATCACTGAACATCATTGAACAGTTTCAGTTTTCCTGGAGGGGTGACTCTCATAGGCTTCGAAGTGCTTCCTAGCATCTTCCAAAGTGAATGTGACAATATACCATGCCATTTTTTGTTTTAGATTTTATTATTGAATAACTGACTTTGGTATATGAAATAGGTTTTATAATTCCCATTATGAGACATATGCTTAGTAGACATTTGTATGTACCACCTGCCTTTTAAAACATGTCTTAAATGCCTTGTTACTCATTACAGATCAACAAACTCCATTTGTGCAAACCTCTCATTCGAGCAATTGACAGCTCAAATCTCAAAGAAGATTATAGCATTGCACAGAGAGTGACATACAGATACTATGTTGGACGCAAGGCTATGTTTGATAGTGACTTTAAACAAGGTATGTTAGTTATTTTTTTTCTAGTATTTTAAATAAGACATGACATTTTGTTCAACATAAATGATAGAGTCTTAGAGAACATAATTACTGTATTTTATGATTACTGATGGAAATATATTTTAAGCCATGTTATTTTTATTATTTTTTAGAGCTAATTTGTTTTCAATATTTCCATAAGATTTATTAAGATAAGCCATGTTATTATGTTCTATTACTTTGTACACTATAATTGATTAAATAAATAAAAATTACCTTTGATGATATTTTAAGCCATACTGGGTTTCTAGAAGACATGTCAGAGCATCACAGTCTCTCATGAAAGTCCTTGTGTTTGTGGGGGGGGTTGGTGTGTGTATGAAATAATTAAGTGTATGGTTGATCTTTGAATTGAATATACGAAATGGTTTTCTTACTCTCCTTTGACCTCAGTACTGTGATGTTTATGAGTACATGCATATTAAAATTTAAAAATGCTAATAGCAATGGCTTACCAGATGCCAACTTAACTTTAATGGCAACTGAGCAACAGATGCCCTTAGGCAAATCACAATTGCAGTGAAAGTGCATTTTTTCAGGTTTTCCCCCTTTGTTAACTAGAACTTTCCTGCCAGTTGTTTTTTAACTTTGTGCTATAGATTTTACTTAAGAAAAACTACTAACCACTGAAATGAAATTGGTCTGGCATTTTTTGTGATGATAAAAGAAGCAACCTTTTTTCCTTTTATATAAAGAAAATGTGAGAGTAAGGAGCAGGAGGGAAAGTGTGATCATTTGCTGTCACAGAGAATACTGAAGAAAATGTAGGTGGTTTTTCTATAGCTTTCGACTGAGACTCTATGTTGTGTTCTTTAGCTGAGGAATATCTGTCATTTGCATTTGAGCGTTGTCACCGCTCCAGTCAGAAGAACAAGAGAATGATTCTGATATATTTGCTTCCAGTGAAAATGCTATTGGTAAGTGATTGTCACTCAGCTTGTACAGATCATCTTGCTTTAAGGAAGTTAATAAACTTTCAAAAGTGTAGTCGATGATGTAGTCACCATCTGAACTCTATGTGAACGCTTCCCCAAAATAGAGAATGAATAAGCATTGGTATGTGACCTGCCCTATGTCCTTCCATGATTCATATTTACAGTTCTTTTTAGAAAGTCTTTGCTTGTTTTCGTTCCCCTTACGGTTCCAATTCTAAAGCACACAATATAAATGCATTGTTATTTTCACATCTTCCTGAACATCCAAAATGACTAACACTAATAGAAACAGATTAACCAAGAAAGGAAAAATGTTCCAGCCTGTCTGTAGATATTTTAGTCACCAGAATTATTTTTGATATTTAAAAAGAAATGCCAAGTAACTGATGAGTGAGTTGGAAAAAAATTCTCAAACCAAGTGCTATTATTTCTTCCCATTAATTTTTTTAATTATCAAAGCAATAAATATGGTGAAAAACAATTCAGAAGAGCTTTATAATCGAAAAGCAACCACCTTGTTTCTATCCTTCCCCACTTCCAATCCTACTTCCTAGAGAACTCATTTTAAATTTTTTGCTGATTCCTCTAAAATATTTCCATATTTCTAAGTCTTATATTATCCTACTCTTTCTTCAGTGACCGCTGCCCTCCCTATTATATAAATGATGTGATATGAGACCCAGAGCAAATAAGGTCCAAGTCATATGTCTTGGACAAAATTGGACATGAACAGGTTTTCTGATTTCTGACCAGGGTGTTTTTGTTGTTTTGTTTTTGACAGTGTATGATGTTTTAATTATTGATCAGTTACTTAAGACAAATTTCTAGAAAACGCAAGTTGTGTTTTTCCTTATACTTAATACTTCAATATGTATTGAAAAAAAGCTCTATTTAAAATGAAAGCATTTTTATTTCGGAAAATTAACTCTTTGTCTTAGGGTCATATGCCAACTATTGAACTTTTGAAAAAGTATCATCTTCTGCAGTTTGCTGAAGTGACCAAAGCTGTAAGGTAGAGTACTGTAATTTTATCATGTGGGATTTTAAAAATACGTAAAATTTAATAAAATGGTCACATTTTCTGGAAGAAATCATTGTGTTCTGCCGTTCTTTCTTGCTGGAGTTGTTTTGTTTTATCATTATTCTTGCGTCTCCTTTCCTCTCCCAACCTCAGTGAAGGCAATCTCTTACTACTGAATGAAGCTCTGACAAAACATGAAACCTTTTTTATTCGCTGTGGTATTTTCCTTATTCTTGAAAAATTGAAGATCATCACCTACAGGAATCTTTTTAAGAAAGTGTAAGCAAACTTGTCTTTTTTACTACTTACCTAATGCTAAATTCTTAGTATGAGTAATGGAAAATGTCATCGTGAGAGGCGGTGTGCGTTCTTCTGAGATAAGGATCATAATCTATTTGAATTTGGGTCCCATCATCTTCCCTTTCTTTTTTTAAAACATTTTTTAACTCTTTTTTTTCTTTAATCATTTTATTGGGGGCTCGTACAACTCTTATCACAATCCGTACATCCATCCATTGTGTCAAGCACATTTGTGGCCATCATCATTTTCAAAACATTTTCTTTCTACTTGAGCCCTTGGTATCAGCTCCTCATTTTTTCCCTTCTCGCCCTCACCCTCCCTGTTTCATGGACCCTTGATAATTTATAAATTACTATTATTTTTCATGTCTTACACGACCAATGTCTCCCTTTACCCACTTTTCTGTTGTCCATCCCCCTAGGAGGGGGTTCTAGGTAGATCATTGTGCTCGGTTCCCCCTCTCTCCCCATACCTTCCCCTCCGCCTCCTGGTATGATCTTCCTTTTCTTTAATTGTGTGAAATACAATGACATTTTCAGACCTAACTAACCATTGCCTCCTTACTTACCTTGATGTTGTGATAGATGACTAAAACACTGTCTACACTTTTGGGGAGAGACATTGCATTTTATCTATACAACACAAGATTATATGTGATAAGAGACTACTGTAGCAAATATTTTTAATGTTGCCCTAAGAATCAAATACTTCCTGTTTTATCAGAATGTGTAAGACAAATTGATCAATTTCTTTCTTTATGACCAAGTAAAGCTCCTCCGTCACTCTCATTTGTCAGAAAGTCAAGTTTTAATATATAATTGTTTCTTTTCTTACATGTAATAATGGAGGCTGACTCTCTTCTGTAAGATCTTAAATTTCAAACAAAATCAGACTTTTTGCAATGTATATCAAAAATAGGAATAGCAATAGTTTATTGACGCTAAGATACCATCTATTATAAGATGTATCCTGATTTCAGAGATACAAAATTGTGAAGAAATATGCATCTTAGAGTTAATAAAATAAACTCACTGATTTTTAAAATAAATGTTGTGCTTTCTTTAAATTGAAAAGTTAAAATTATGTTTAATAGCTTTTCTTTTTAGAGTGTATTTTAATACGTGAGAAAAAGTTTTTAATTCCTTTATTAAAACGGGGAGGGGGTGATCCTTGTGGTTGAATAGATTCACCATTTCTTGACCTTTGAAGTGCATTTTATTAATTAGTAAAATAGAATTCTATTTTCTTCTCTCAGGTATTTGTTACTCAAAACACATCAGTTGTCTCTTGATGCTTTTCTGGTTGCCTTGAAATTTATGCAAGTAGAAGATGTAGATATTGATGAAGTTCAGTGTATTTTGGCTAATCTCATATACATGGTATGTGATCTCCCTGCATTAATTTGAACAACTATTCACAGTAAAATTTTAGATAGAATTTGAATCTTCATTGTAGTAGGATTAAAAATATTACTAGGTCTTTTGATGTTTTCTAATAGAATTAATTTTACTCCAGGAAATACCACAACAAAGGATTTTACAGAGGGTGGGTGAGTGGATATAATATATAAGGGAACTCCAAAAAGTTTTCCAAAAATTCTATTATCTTTTCATTCCATTATTCTTTGAACATTTTGAAACTCCCTTATGTATTTCCATGTTTTTCTTGCTTATGTTTGTTATTGTTAAATTAAATTGCACTGGGCTGCTAAATGAAAGGTCAGCAGTTCAAAAACCCTAGCTGCTCTGCAGAAAAAAGATGAGGCGTTCAACACCCATAATGATGTGCAGCCTCAGAAACCCACAAGGGCAGTTTTCCCATGTTCTCTTGGGTCACTGGGAGCACTGACTGGTACACGCATTGACTCAAGGGCAATGAGTGTTTCTGGGGAAACCCCCCTGGGTCATGCAAATAGTGCAGTGCCTGGCTGCTAACTGAAAGTTTCGAAGTGGCGTCCACTCGGAGGCACCTCAGGAAAAAACCCTGGCAATCTGCTCCTGAGAAAAGTGGCCCCAGAAAGCCCCATGGAGCACACTTGTACTCTGACACACGTGAGGGCAATAGGCATTGAGTCCGTTTGGGAGCTACTGTTTTTGTTTGTTGTTTTGAATTATTGAAGAAGAAATGCTTATGGTGCACTTCAAATCCTGAAGTATAAGGCCATTTCTGCTTTTTTTCTCCTGCAGGGTCACATTAAAGGGTATATATCACATCAGCATCAGAAGCTAGTTGTGAGCAAGCAAAACCCATTCCCTCCACTATCAACAGTGTGTTGAATGTATAACGTGACAATGGAAAAGCAATTTGTTGCCTTTGTTTTCATTCGCATTGAAGTCAGTAATAATAAGGTCATGTTATTCGTGGGAGCCAAGGAACTCTTGAAGACCTCCCTTTCAGGGATGGTGAGACTGAGTCTGCCAGCGTACACGCATGGATGACTGGACATGTTCTTTTATCACTCGTGGCTGGTGTTCGCCTCACAAAGAGTCAGCATTCCTTTTTCAGACAAGGAAAACCCCTCGGGGGGCTCGGCAGTATTCTCGGACTCTGTAAAAGAGGCTTTGTCTTGAAGGCAGCTACCAGTTTACTTTTTTATAAATATTGTTCATAAAAGTAATCTTTGTGATTTTTTGGTAACTTTCTATAAAAAAAGACATTCTGAATTTATACAAATGCCATGTTTTTTAATTGTCTCTTGCAGGATATATCTATTTTTAAGCATTAAAATGGCTTCTCTTTAAAAGTTGAATTTAATTGTATTTAAAATTTCCAGATTTCATAGCCTGTCCTTTTGATCTTTGTCTTCTGTTTATGAAAAAGTTAGGAAAGAAGAAAACTTCATAATAAAACATTTAAACTCATCTTTGCAAAGTTATCACATTTGAAAGCTGCTCACCTGCTTTGTGCAGAGGAACCATTTGAGAAGTGTGAATTCTCTTTTATATGATAGTTAACATATCTGGAGATGTTCATTTATGTATGTGGCTCCTCTATCAGCTGTCTTAAGAAACCACTTCAAGACTTAGTGGTGTAAAATAGTCCATTCATTATTTTACTGATGTCACATGAAGCAGACAAATTGTCCTAAGCCCTGAAGACTGTGCGGAGGGCTAGATGCTCCATCAGTAACATTGTGTAAGGTCTGCCTTATATTCAGGTACCCCCCCAAAAATCAGAGAAATACTCCTCTGAGCCAAGCTTTTGTAGTACACATTTTTCCTGCTAGGTAAGCATCGAACAACTCACTGAGTTAGTGCACCCAGCGGTGTTGCCTTGGAAAGTGCTCTCTGGTCAGTGAGTTTTTTCATGGAAGCAGTTTTGCTCAAACCTCGTTTTTTGTGATGGCCAATTTAAGAGAACAGCGCGTGGCTGTTACCTGCTTGGGAAAAATGCCGCAGAAACTGTTGGGATGTTGAACACAGCTTCCAAGGACAGTACTATGGGAAAAACTCAAGTGTACAAGTGGTTTCTCATTTCAAAAAAAAGATGAAACATTGATTGATGACAAACCTCGTTCTGGATGTCCATCAACTTCCTGGATGGACAAAGATGTCAAACGGTATTACATTTGGAGTTTGTTCCACCAGATCAGACTGTTAATCAAGCTTTCTATGTAGAGGTTCTGAAAGAATTGCACAACGGTGTGGGATAAAAAAAGGCCTGATTTGTAGCAGATGGGCTTGTTTTGCCACCATAACAGTGCACCTGCTCACGCAGCCCTCTCAGTGCGCCAGTTTTGGGCAAAATACAGCATGCCTCTCTTGCCCTGTGTACATTACTCACCTGACCTCACTCCATGTGACTTCTCTTTGTTTCCTCAAATGAAGAGGGACATGAAAGGACAGCAGTTTGATGACATAGAAGAGGTAAAGAAAAAAAATGAAGATGCTGTCATCCATACAAACATGGGTTTGAAAATGATCCCAAGAATGGAATCACAAATTTGACAAATGTATTCAGTGTAATGGAGAGTACTTTGAAGATGATCGGTTGCTTTGTAAAAAAAAAAAAATTTAAATACATAGCTTTGAAAACAAATTTTTGGTTTTTTATTGGGGGTGGGTATCCCCTTGTAGAATGGCATTAATGCACATAGATTTCATGCCTGTGCACTTTTATTAACCTCAGAAGCTGCTGCTTTCTGCACTTAGCAACAAGTTACCCTGAGCACCGATTTCTATAAACTGAGACTAGCCACTAAGGCAGTCACAGATGACTTCATACTGCAGCATGCTTTTTGTACTAGGCTTATCTCCACTGGACCACTGTTCTCTTACAGCGTTACATTTCTCTAAGACTCCACAGAAGGTCTTCAACATCTAGTTACAGATTGGTTTTCATAGCAATTTGAGTATTTGCACTTCTATAAACATGCCTGAATTTCATACATCTGGGTTAAAGCTGTAGAAAGCAGAGGTCTGTCAATGTTTTCAGGCAGTTTATTGAATAGTACATATAGACAATCAAAGATTGATAGCTTTGACTATATGTAGGAACATGTGCTCTTCTGTGTATACACCGAAGGCCTAAGCACAGAGTAGCCTAGTTCAAGTGCATTTATCATTGGGTTTGTTTGTCATGGACATCAAATGATCAATTAATTTCTGCCTAGAATAAAGTATTTTAACCCCTTCAAACTGTCACCAAAGCCAAGCTATTTCCCTTACCTGGATTTCTCGGATTTGTTTGATTATTTCAAATGGTTTCTAGCCATTTTATTAAACTTCATCTGTCAATAGAGTGATTCTTTTTATTTTAAATGTCTCAGCTGGCATTTCAGCCCTTAGTCTGCCCTGTAATGACCCTTGTCTCACAGAGCCCATTACTGTAATGAAATTCTTCATTTGCTTTTATGTAAGTAGTTTCAAATAGGGTGTCTACTCTGGGTTAGCAAGTTCAGGTTTGACATGCAAATAAATACTGTTAGCCAGATTGCTGATATTTCTGCAGCATTGCTTATATAAATATTAAAATATTTTAAAAATATCATTAGCATGCAGGTTAGCATATTCCTTAGGTGGTACAAACAGTTAACATGCTTGGCTGCTAACAGAGGGTGGAGATTTGGGTCCACCTTGAGACACCCCAGAAGAAAAGCATAATATGCTTCCAAGCCATTAAAAACAAAAACCCTCACTGCCATTGAGTTGATAACAACATAGTAGCTCTATAGTACAGGGTAGAACTTCCTCTGTGAATTCCTAAGATTAACTCTTTATAGGGTAGCAACTAACTAGGTTTCAAACTGCTGACCTTGAAGTTGGCAAACCAAGGTTTAACAGTTCAGGCTGAGAAATCCACATGGGCAGTTCTACACTGTCCTACAAGGTTGAATTGACTCGGTAGCAATGAGTTTGGTTTTTGACAGTTTAAAAATAATATAAATTTCAAGGAGATTTAAAAATTCACCGTAACAACCTAGTGTTCACTCAGTTACGTGCATAGTGTGTTCATTGCAGGACAAGGATGAAGCAGTATGCTTCTGTAGAGATGTACAGCCTCAGAGACCCATGGAACAGTTCTACTTTGCCCTACAGGGTGTCTCTGAGCTGACATCAGCGAATTAGATTAGCATTACCAGTTCTTTCAGAGAAGTAGATGACCTTGTCAGTGGATTGCTCCCTTACCCACAAATTGAATTCTGGGATTAAAGTATATCATCAAAAATAAGATGCTTAGCCTGTTGAAGAATTATAAAACTTAAAAATCAGAGTTGTTGGAATTACTAAGATTTTAATATGCAAAAGAATTTTTAAGTCAGCCTCAACTCTTAATCCCTTAAAAATAGAAACCTCTCCACTCTTCCACAACCGTCTGCAGTGAGAGAGCTCCCCTCTCCCCCACTAGCCACTATCTGCCCCCATTTGGTCTTCTGATTTTTAGCAAAAATGAGACACTGAGAATTTTTATAGATTCTGAGGAAGCACAATTTTTTTTCTGGCCTATTTTCTATTCCTGATGGAAACTATAGTCTTCACAATGATAGACTATTGCTATTCAACAAGTGTCCTAAATCCTATTTGTGCTTTAACTTAACCTGTACCAGCTAGATGCTGCTAGTATTCCCATGTAGACATGACAAAACTGAGACAAAAGAATTGGTCAAGGGTTACATATGTGGCTTCCAGAAGCAGAGTTGAGAGAATCCAAGTTCTCAAACCCTGAACCAGTGGCTTCTATGGAATCTGCATATGTGAATCTGAATTGTGTATTTGGTGCACATTCCTATTTTAAAAGCCTAAACTGCTGTCTGTCCTCTTAGTCTCCCTCTCATGCTTCCTAACCCTTTTCTCTAAAGCTGTGTCTATGCACTGTTCTCTTTTAGAATTATTTTCCTCCTCTCTCAAATCCATTTCCAGTTAACATTTTCCAACATTTAGCAACTCAGTTTTGTTGGCAAGAAGTAACTTTACTTTCTTCCATCGAGTGGATGCTGACTCATAGTGATCTTGCAGGCAAGATCTATGCCTTGTGAGTTCCTGAGGTTCTCTTTACAGAAGTAGAAAGCCGTGTCATTCTCCCAAGGAGCACCTGATGATTTTGAACTGCTGATCTTGCAAATCGCATTATCGCAGCCCAAAGCGTAGCCACTACACCATGTGGAGCTCCTGCGAGATAACCTTATAGCTAGCAATTGTTAAAAGCTTCCATATCAAAGACATACACTTATTTATATAGTATGTTTATTCTTAGACTAAGCTATGTATATTGACTCATGATCATCATAAAACAGATTTGAAGATCATTTTAGAAAGTCCAGTTTTATTACTAACAAATGTATGTTATTTTATTACTCAATGTATCTAAGCCAGGTCTCTGTTTAGATCTTTGAAAAATTCTAACGAAAGAAATAGCACAACGCTAATGATTGAACACGCAGTAACCTTGATCATGTTAGCTGACTTGGCTGTCCTGGAGCTGTGGCAGCCTCACAGAGCTAACAATCCCACTTTATCCCCAGGGTTGCCGATACAATTTGGAATTTCACCACGTATTGATTCTTTTTCCATTTAGCTGAGTTTTAATTAGTTCATTATTTGTCGAAACCAGAGCGAGTATCTTGAAATCTTGGTGAAGAGAAATACCTGTCCATACTCTTTTGTTGATGACGTGTGCATAATCCCCGTCAAAAACCAAGTGCCTTTGTATGGTCTTGTGACAATGCTTCCCTCCATCCACTGTCCCGTTATGAAGGGACTCTTCTCACAATACATTCTGGTGGTGACTGTCACATTGAGTGCTCTCCCACAGTCCTCCCCATTAAACTGTGAAACCAGCACCTTCATTAGTGAGGCGCGTGATTCATTCCCAGTAAGTGTCCAACCGCTGACCAGGCCCACATTCTTTGGCAGCAGAATGTGCTCGGCGAAGTCATTTTCGGGTAGGCAGACTGGAAGCCCCGAGCTGAGGCACTGAATGGGCTCCTCCAGCTCTAGCAGGGACACGTTATTTTCGCCAGTCTCTTCGTTGTACCGCATGTGCACATGAATTCTCTTCACCTTCGTTGTCAGTGAGCTATTACTCTTTCTGTTAAAATCTGAAATAATGGATAATCCCTGGTTTTTAAAACTGATTTTCAAGGTGGATATTAGAAACTAATTCCTGACCGAATCATATTATTACAAAGCAGAGGTGTAGTGTGCTATACCACACTGGCTACCTGTGTTTCTGAGTTTTCTTATGTGGGTTGAAAGCTAAATAACAAAAATGAAGTATATTTCAACCAATTTCCATGACCTCTCCTCACATTATCCTTAAAAACAAAAGCAAAAGCCCACATTCTAGGAGTCGTTGGGGTGGGAGGATTCAGTCGAGTTGGGTGAAATGGCCAGAACAACAGGAGGTTATGAAGAACTTGTCCCAGCACATCAAGATTGAGAGATTTAGAAGTAGGCTTTTAGCCTGACATTTTATTGATTGGAAAACAAATTCAAGGATGGTGAGTAAAAGCTCACTTTGAGGTCCTTCAGATTCACAAACTCTAGTGTTTAGATGGTGTTTAATTTTATAGTGTGTACTTTCACCTTTATAATATCCCTTTGAGGTAGAAATCATTGCCCAATTTTTAATAAGAGAAAATAGGCCCACATAAGTCAGATAATAAGCCCAGGGTTAATAAGACCAATGTCACATATGGTGAAGGGGGAATTTAAACCCAACTTTCCTGCCTTCTAATTACTTATATCTTTTATACCACAATCTGTACCATTTCAATGTCAAGAGAAGTTATATTTTTAGACATTGTGATTTCTTCCTCAGCTACTCTTTATTTTCCTACTTAGGGGTTTGACTATACATTCTGACCTTATAATTAAGTATCTCAGTATTGTTGAAGTGACATTCCGTTTGGACTTGGATTCGAAACAATGCCATTCTGACAGGTAATCTTACTCAAATTCATGGTGCGCTACTTACTTGTTGTCACACTCATATTACTGTGCATGAGTGAGCAAGTTGCAGTTGTCAGCACAAAGTTTTCCTGTAGGATAACACCACCACAGAAGGCATTTCCTTTGAAATCTGTTAGTTTTACCTGAAAAACAAAACAAAACAGAACCGACCATCACTGGTGACAAGGTGTAGGATCAGGACACAGTACAGTTTGGTGGTGTAAAGCCATAATCAGAATACATACTTTATGGAGTTAGAAAAGAAGAAGAAAATGTAGATTGTTGATTAAGACAGCAGGTGAGTCTACAGTGAAATACTTGAATTTATTTAGAAGGAGAGTAAAATGATCAATTATATATTGCTACATCAAGAAAGACAAAAACCAAACTCACTGCCAGTTAGTCCATTTGAACATAGTCATGCTATATAGAATTTCTGAGACTGTAAATCTATCGGAGCATACAGCCAGCAGCCCAATGCCTAACCTATCATTAAATATTCATTTTAAAAATTCAAGAATGGGGAAGTGATTACAAGGATCTACATATAACCTCCTCCCTGGGGTATGGACAATAGGAAAGTGGGTGAAGGGAGACAATGGACAGTACAAGATATGACAAAATAATATATAATTATCAAGGGTTTGTGAGGGAGGGGGAAGCGGGGAGGGAGGGGAAAAAATGAGCTGATGCCAGGGGCTTAACTGGAGAGCAAATGTTTTGAGAGTGGTGAGGGCAATGAATGTACAAATGTGCTTTACACAATTGATGGATGTATGGATTGTAATGAGTTGTATGAGCCCCTAATAAAATTATTTTAAAAAATAAATTTAAAAAAAGATTCAAGAGGAACTGTAATATAAATAGATTGCTTAACTTGTAAATCAGTTAAGGGAGAAAAAGAGGGAATTAACGAAGATGAATATCAAACAGAAAATGTAGGGAACAAAATCATGGAGCTGGAATTTGACCTGAGAGGAGCAGCGGCAGCAGGCCAGGAGCCAGAGTGGTGGACTCCCCGCCCACAGTACAAGTGAAACAGTGCTCTTGGGCAGGAGGCTGGCTTGTGGAGTGAGATGCCTCTGGACACTTTATTGGAGGGGTTAAGTTTGTTGACCCACAGAGCCCAAGCCCAGTGTCTTTGGATTGAGTCACATAGAGAAATGGTATGTCCTTTGGACATTTGTTTATAACTCTAAAGAAGATTTGTAACATCGCCCTATCAAATTCTGTGTGGCCATTGCACTGAATTATAGAGCCCAGATAAAAAGTAGAAAGTACTGTAGGAGGAATGTCTGGTGTCAGAATTGGTAAGGTGTGGCACCCCATCATTTCTTTTTTTTTTTTTTTAATAGCGCAACTAAAACATGTTTGCTTTACTTTGTCTTTACATTTCTATTTGGCAAAGGAAGTAGCAAGTACAAGTAGGTGATGTTTGTAACGTAAAAGCACATGAAAACATTTGTCTGTTACCTGCCATGGGAAAATTGGAAGAATCTGGTTGTTTTCATTTTTTAGTCTCATGATGTATTCAGAACTCAGGATTCCACATGCACATTTCTCTTCATTTATAGGGAAAACGGATGAAAAGTCAGTACCTTCCAAGTCAAACCTCATAGTCTATTCATATTCCTTCTTATTCCATATTCTTTCTTATTTCTTAATACTAATTATTTTATAATTAGGCATCCACAAAGCATAGTGAAAATAACTCTTACAGGTTACTTATTATAGATACGTATGCATAAAGTCAGAAGCTATAATTTGGGCAAGACGAGTCCTAAACAGTAGCACTTTTTGTCACTATCCTTGCTCTAATGTAGAG